ACCTTTGTCTGGCTCCCGATGTGGGTGTGACATGAAGGAACCAATGGGATCTATGGAGGGTGACCACAGGCTGCCTGCTGATCAGATCACTGCCAGGGTTATTATAGAAATGCACTTAAGCCCATGGAAACAGACAGTGGCCTGCACATGTCTTCAACCTATTCTTTATTTTGATACGGAGTTTCGCTCTTGTCCAGGCTGGAGTGCAATGGCATGATCTTGGCTCACTGCAACCTCTGCCTCCCAGGTTCAAGTGATTCTCTTGTCTCAGCCTCCTGAGTAGCTGGGATTACAGACACTTGCCACCACACCCATCTGATTTTTATATTTTTAGTAGAGATGAGGTTTCACTATGTTGGCCAGGCTGGTCTCGAACTCCTGACCTCCTCAGGTGATCCGCCCGCCTTGGCCTCCCAAAGTGCTGAGATTACAGGCATGAGCCACCATGCCTGGCCTAACCTATACTTTTTATTTATAAAATTGTGGTTTAAAAACCCCCACATAACATAAAATTTACCATCTTGCCTTTTTTTTTTTTTTTTTTTTTTTAAAGGGTCTTACTCTGTCACTCAGGCTGGAGTGCAGTGGAACGACCTCAGCTCATTGTGACCTCTGCCTTCCAGACTCAAACAATCTTCTCACCTCAGCCTCCTGAGTAGCTGTACCACCACGCCCAGCTAATTTTTTTTTTAATCTTTTTGGTAGAGTCAGGGTTTTGCCAAGTTGGCAAGGCTGGTCTCAAACACCTGGACTAAAGCAATCCACCTGCCTTGACCTCCCAAAGTGCTGGGATTATAGGCATGAGCCACTACAGCCAGCTGTTTTACCATTTTTATGTGTACAGTTCAGTTGTGTTAAATATATTCACATTGTTGTGAAGCATCACTCCAAAAGACTTTCATCTTGTGATACAGAAATCTATACCCATTAAACAATAACTACTCTCACCTCCTCCCTCCAGCCCCTGCTAACTACCAGTGTACTTTCTGTTTCTATGAATTTGATGACTTTAGATACTTCATATAAGTGGAATCATGCAGCATATGTATTTTTGTGACTGGTTTATTTCCTAGTGTCATGTACTCAAGGTTCATCTATGTGTCACATGTATCAGAATTTCATTCCTCTTTAAGGGTGAATGATATTCCATCATATGGATAGACCGCATTGTCTTTATCATTCCTCTGTCAATGGATAGAGTTGTCAGTGTCAAGTTGTTCCCATCTCTTGGCTATCATGAATAATGCTGCAATAAACATGGACCCTTGCTTTCTATTCTTTTGGAAATATTCCCTGAAGAGAAATTGCTGGAGCATATGTTAGTTTTATTTTCAATTTTTTAAGGAGCTACCATACCATTTTCCATAGCAGTTGAATACAATCATATGTTCCCTCCAACAGAGCACAAGGCTTCTAATTTCTTCACATTCTCACCAACACTTGTTATTTTCTGTTTTCTTGGGAGTATCTATTCTAAAGGGCGTGCCTGTGTTTCTGGACTGGCTTAGAGCAATTTTTTTTTTGAGGTGGAGTCTTGCTCTGTCGTCCAAGCTGGGGTGCAGTGGTGCAATCTTGGCTTACTGCATCCTCTGCCACCCGGGTTCAAGTGATTCTCCTGCCTCAGCCTCCTGAGTAGCTGGGACTGCAGGCACATGCCAACATGCCTGGATAATTTTTGTACTTTTAGTAGAGATAGGGTTTCACCATATTGGCCAGGCTGGTTTCAAACTCCTGACCTCGTAATCCGCCTACCTTGGCCTCCCAAAGTGCTGGGATTACAGGCATGAGCCACTGAGCTAGACCTTAGAGCAATTATTAATTATTTATTGGAACTGAGCAATGGGGAAAGTATCACACCATACTATGGGCAGATAACCTAATAACCTAGAGCCACAAAAAGCAATCATAACTTTGCCAATGACCTCATGACTGTGGGCAAATTGTGCACTCTCTTGAGTTCTCATCTGCTCACTCAAGGGCAAAGCCTTCTCAATGATACAACCTTCCCCCTCCTTTGCCCTGATGTTTCCACCAGGAAAAGGTGGGAAGTGAGAGATGGAAAATGACTTGTGAGATTGGGGTCTTAATTTTAGCAGCTATCACTCAGCTATCATATTTTTCTTTATAAGAATAACTCGTGCTTACTTTTGAACATTTAGAAAGCTCACAAAAGCATTAGAAGCAAAGAAGTATGTATCTACCATTCCATCACCCACAGGCAAGCACTGATAACATTTTGCCCTGTTTCTTGTAGTGTTTTTCTAAGTGAGGCAAACTTCTTTAATCTTCAAGTCCCTCTTTTTCTAAAGAGGAGCTACTTCTTTTCACAGCAATCTGTAGCAAAGTTAACTGAGCTCTCGATTTCTTAAATATATCTTTCTTTGTGCTAGTTCATTTCTTAGATGTGTCACTTTGAGTGAAAAGCAATTAATTACAGTGGAAACGCTGCTAGGAGACGTCTTAAGAAATTCTGTTAATATATATAGGGAGAGAAAGGAAGGGGAAAGGGAGCTGCTGGGCAGACCCAGTCTATTTAAATGGGTAATTTCCTTTCCTTTCAAGTTTCAGGGTTGCCGATCTATATATTTGTGAAAGGACTAGAAAGCTGTTAGTATAACTCCAATTTGTCAAACTTGGTAAAACCCAACTGAAAGGCAAAGTTGATAGAATGACTTTGGTAAATTTCATTTTCAATGTTTTTTTTTTTTTTCCAAGGAACATTGCTATATCAGTTCAGAAAAAAAAATTGAAATGATAATCCTAAGACTAAGAAAGGTGGCATATGGGACAGCACTAGGTTTCGAAGGCTTGCTCTTGGTAATGTCCAGCCTCAGGAAGTCATGCTTGGGGATTTTTGTTTATTTGCTTGTTTGTTTTTTGAGACAGAGTCTTACCGTATCACCCAGGCTGGAGTACAGTGGTGCAATCTAGGCTCACTGCAACCTCCACCTCCTGAGTGCAAGTGATCCTCCTGCATCAGCCTCCGAAGAGGCTGGGATTACAGGTGCATACTACCACACCCACCCAGCTAATTTTTGTATTTTTAGAAAAGACAGGGTTTTACCATGTTGTCCAGGCTGGTCTTGAACTCCTGACCTCAGGCGATCTGCCTGCCTTGGCCTCCCAAAGTGCTGAGATTACAGGTATGAGCCACTGTGCCCAGCTGCTTGGAGATTTTGGGGGCTGCAGGAGTCCGAGAAGTTTTTGTCTTGGAAACCCGGCCTAGCTGGGACAACTGAGGGTGGCCTGGCCTGGCTCCCAGACTGGGGAATCCTACACAAAAGGCATTCAGCACAGCTCCCGGCAAAGGAGAACTGCTCAGTAACTGTTGGATATAATTGTGATGTTCTGGGGAGTTGTAGGGAGAGGGACTCTGGGCCATCTCTTGGCAGTGTGATGGGGATTGGGGGGAGGAGTCACATATGGAAAGTGGAGAATGGTGGGGAGTGGATTGGTCCCTTTATCTACTCTTTTTTTTTTTTAAGACAGAGTCTCGCTCTATCGCCCAGGCTGGGGTGCAATGGTGTGATCTTGGCTCATTGCAACCTCCGCTTCCTGGGTTCAAGCAATTCTTCTGCCTCAGCCTCCTGAGTAGCTGGGATTACAGGCATGTACCCAGCACACCCAGCTAATTTTTGTATTTTTGGTAGAGATGGAGTTTTACTGTTTTTGCCAGGCTGGTCTTGAACTCCTGACCCCTAGTGATCCACCCACCTTGGCCTCCCACAGTGCTGGGATTACAGGTGTGAGCCAACGTGTCCAGCCCCTCTATCTACTTTCTAATTCTCCCCTAATCTGAGCTTCCAGGGCCCTGGTTGCGAAAGGAGAGAGAGAGAGAGAGAGAGAGAGAGAGAGAGAGAGAGAGAGAGAGTGTGTGTGTGTGTGTGTGTGTGTGTGTGTGTGTGTCAGGGCATATAAATCGGTTAAGATTCAGGGAGGAGGAAGAGTCAACTCACATTTATTAAGCCGTTTCTATACTGTATGTTTACCAGACACTATACTAAGCATGTGATATGGTTTGGATGTGTGTCTCCTCCAAATCTCATGTTAAAATGTGAACCCCAGTGTTAGAACTGGGGCCTAGTGGGGGGTGTTTGGGTCCTGGGGGTGGATCCCTCATGAATGGCTTGGTGCTGTCCTCTTGAGAATGAGTAGATGCTCGCTCTATTCATTCATGTGAGATCTGGTTGTTTAAAATAGCATGGTGCTCTCCCTCTGTTGCTTTTGCTCTCTCCATGTGACTGGTCTGCTCCTCCGTCACCTTCCTCCATGACTGTAAGCTTCCTGAGGCCTCCCCAGAAGCTGAGCAGATGCTGGTGCCATGCTCATATAGCCTGCAGAACCATGAGGCAAATAAATCTCTTTTCTTTACAAATTACGCAGCCTGAGGCATTCCTTTATAGCATTGCAAAGGAAAAACGTAGCATGTAAGAAATAAACCAAGGAAATAACACAGTGTATAAGAAAAAAAACCAATTCACAAAAGAGGTTAGGAGGTAACTGAACTAAGTATTTGGACCAGGCTCGTCTGCTTGACCCTGAAGCCTGAGCAGAAACATCTCCTCCATTTCTTGTAGACCTATAGAAAGATTTCCTCCACCATGTTCCTTAAGAGTTCAAGCCTAACCTGTCCTCAGGTAATGTCTGAAGAGGCAGAACTAATCCATGAAAACTCAGAGGTTTTCCCTTTTGGGGTGTAACGGGGCTTCCTGCCAGTGGCAAGGAACTACTTTATCACTGGCCACCACTTGTTCTTTGAGAAGGACAGCCCAAAGGAGCTGGCATAGGCTTTCCAGAAACTCTCCCAGGCCACATGGAAAGCCAGGAGACCCTGTAGTCCCTGCCCAGTGTGACTCAAGCCCTGGGTAGAAGGAAAGCAAGCTCCAACCTGCAGGCCAAGCCTGGCATGCAGTGGGGCTGTGGGCAGACTGCCATCCCTTGCACCAGTGGTGCCAAATTTCTTGCCAAATAGGCTTGAGTTTCAACATGTTGGGAGAGTGCAGGAGCCTGTGAGCATAACTTTGCTGTCAACCCTGAAGCAGGGCCAAAGAAGATCCGAGAGAGTCCAGCAGCACAGCAGATGCAAGGGACAGGCATGGATGTTGAGCTCCTGGGGACTCAGCCCTCTATGGGGAAAGCAGAGCACCATCTAACACCAGAGTTCTAAAGTGCAGCCAGAGCATCGCCCGAGCCATCCCAGGGGATGGAGGTGAGTTTTTGTTTTACCTGTGAGATCTTAGAACTTAGGTTAGGTAGGTTTGTAGAAGAGGTGTACTCTACAATGAGCACCTTCATTGTACTGATGAGGAAATGGAGGCCCAGAAAGAAAAGGAGACTTTCCTGAGGTCACATATAGGAGCTGGTGGTGAGGCTAGCCTGGAACCTAATGCAGTGCTATTTCCATTTCCCATTTTACGTGGTCCTCCCAAATGACTATACAATTATAAAGGGCTTATTATTTTAAGGGATTAGTCTCCTGAGGGAAACCTTTTGTTTTCCATCAACTTGGTGAAGTCTTGAGGGTTCCTCACTAACCAGGGGACTATAGTATCTTTTTGATCCTAAGAATAAGAATTAGGTCAGATTTTTCTCTTCCTGGCCAAACCCCTTCCTACTTATTTGAAATCCCTTGAAACTCCAGTGAATAGCGAATGAGAGGCCAACTGAACAAGCCAACCCACTGCCCACTATCTCCATCAACAGAACATTCTCCACTTGAAATTTTGTTGTATATACCTCAATACGTTGCCTATATCTGTAATCTGTATCATTTGTCACTATCTCTTTTATATACATTGTATTTTTCCATGACATTACATTTTCTCTGATATGTGTGACACTTTTCCATTGTACAATTATATCAAAGTTTGTTTAATTAATAATTTTGAGTTAAATTCATAGGTTTTTTTCTTATTTTTTGTTGATTGCATTAGCTAGACCCTTCGAGACAACATTAGACACTGAAGTGATGAGTATCCTCCATTCTCCTCTTACTTCTGATTTTCTAAGATATGTGCTTAGATTTTTCTTCTAAATGGGTGTTGATATAATTACATATCCCTTATCTTCAGGATTTTTATTAAATTCCTTTTGGGTTTTTATCAAGATGATCATATTTTTCTTTCTTAGTCTTTTAAAACAATAAATTATAATAACAGATTTTCTAATATTGAATCAGACTTGTAATCATCATGATATATATTTTTACTATATTCCATATACTTAATATATGCAATATTTAATGAATTATATATGAATATATAATTTAATATATTGATTTGATTTGCAGTATTTGACTTGTTATTTTTGCAAATATATTTATGTGATATTAATATTCAGCTTTTAATGTGCTTGATATATCTTTGTGAATAAAAAACCATAAGGTTTGATGCTGGGAAACGGTCTTGACATGTGTGTGATGGAGTGTATGTTGTTTGCTGAGAGGCGATAGCAAGGAACACTGAGCCATCCCCAGGGAGGAATCTGCTAGAATAGTAGGCAATATGTGCTGGTTATGCACTAGTTAAACCAGCTCCCAAAACACAGGATATTTGACCTTGTCCCCATTGCTGACTCAAAGAGTGCTCTCTTATCTTATTTCTATTTTAGTAGTGAACAGGCATTATCTGCCCATTTAGTCTATCTTTATTCTATGAAGAAACACTGAGCACCTGCTTATTAAAAATAATCAATTGTTCACTAAGAATAAATATGTGGGTCAGAGTCTGCTCTGGGCTTTCATCTGGGAAATGCTGTCAGTCCCCTGATGGTCCCACTCTGATCCTCCTTTTGCACTCTATCTTTGTTTCTGTTTCTTAATTCCTTCAGTGCTGCCTGGGTTGGGGTCTCTATGACCGAACTGGTCTTGACAGTTTGATGTGAATGACATGCTAGATTTGTAAAATGAATTAAGGAGCATTTCAACTTTTATGCCGTGGAACCACCTAAATAGCACAGGAGTTATCTATTACATGAGGCTTAATATAATTCACCTGTAAAACTATATGGACCTGGTGCCTATTTCAGGACTTATTTTAAAAATAACTTTTCTAGACCTTTCTATTTTTGTCTATCTTTTCTATATCTCCTTCAGAATGATTTGGCAATTTATATTTTTTAGAGGATTATTTATTTTAATTCAAATTTTAGCATTTCCTTAGAATCTCTGATCATATCACCTTTCTCATTTCCATCATTGTTTGTATTTCTCCCTATTTTTCTTGGTTAGAGATAATTGTTACTTTCCTCTATTGCTGGTCTTTTCAAGGAATTTGCTCTTGGAGGTATTTACTAATTCTACTTTCTATGTATGCACGTGTTTGTGTGGGTATTTAATTCCTTAATATCGAGGGACTTCTGCCAAGATGGCCAAATAGGAACAGCTCTGGAGTGCAGTTCCCCACGGGAGCAACACGGAAGGCGAGTGATCTCCGCATTTCCAACTGAGGCACCAGGTTCATCTCAATGGGACAGGTTGGACAGTGGGTGTAGCCCAAGGAGGGCAAACCGAGGCAGGGTGGGACGATGCCTCACCCAGGAAGTGCAACAGGCCAGAGGGCACACCCTCCTATCCAGCGGAGGCCATCGGGGATGTCTGGCCACTCCAGAGCTCCGGTTCTGATGCTGTGCTTCTCGTGCAGTCTTTGCAGCCCACAGACCAGGAGATACTTACAATATTTTCCCTGCATGCTGACAGGTGCTGCAGGTTTCCAGGGAAATCTGGGCAGTGGATTCAGCTGTGCTGTGAGTTCCCAGCACAGATCCGAGCAGCTGTTTTGACTGGCACCAGGAATGCCTGCGAGACAGAGTTGCCCATACACCTGAGAGGAAGGGGGCTGAAGGTGGGGAGCCAGGTGACCTGGCTCCGTGGGTCCCACCCCCACAGAGACCAGCAAACAATCCCACTGGCTTGGGATTTTCGCAACCAGCACAGCAGTTTGAACTCAACCCTGGACAGTCGAGCTCTGCGGGGGGAGGGGCGTCTGCCATTACTGAGGCAGCTCTAATTTTACTTGTGTAAACAAAAGCACAAAGAAGTATACACAGCAGCTGCAGGGAGCCCACAGCAGCTCAACACCTCTGCAGGCAGACTGTGACTAGACTCCCTCCTTGCTGGACAGAGCCTCTCTGAAAAAAGGCAGCAGCCTGTCAGGGACTTATAAATAAAGCCACACCTTCCCAGGACAGAGCACCTGGGAAAAGGAGTGGTTCTAAGTTCTGCTACAGCAGACTTAAACGTTCCTGCCCAGCAGCTCTGAAGGGAGCAACGGAGCTCCCAGCACAGCACTCAAGCTCTGACAAGGGTCACACTGGCTCCTCAAGCAGTTCCCTAACCCCTGTATATCCAAAGAGTCACCTCATGCAGGAGAGGTCTGGCTGACATCTGGCAGATACCCTTCTGTGATGAAGCTACCAGAGGAAGGAACAGGCAGCAATCCTTGCTATTCTGACCCCCCCACAGGCGATTCTCAGGCAAGCAGAGCCTGGAGTGGACTTCCAGCAGTCCTGCAGCAGAGGGGCCTGACTGTTAGAAGGAAAACTAAAAAACAGAAAGAAATAACCTCAACATCAACAAGAAGGATGCCCACTCAGATACCCCATCTGAAAGTCACCAACTTCAAAGACCAGAGGTAGATAAATCCATGAAGATGGGAAGAAACCAGTGCAAAAACGATGAAAACACCAAAACCCAGAATACCTCTCCTCCTCCAAGGGATCACAATTCCTCACCAGCAAGGGAGCAAAACTGGATGGAGGATGAGTTTGACGAATTGACAGAAGCAGGCTTTAGAAGGTGGGTAATCACAAACTTCTCTGAGCTAAAGGAACCCAATGCAAAGAAACTAAGAACCTTGAAAAAAGTTTAGACGAAATGCTAACTAGAATAACCAGCTTAGAGAAGAACATAAACGACTTGATGGAGCTGAAAAACACAGCACGAGAACTTTGCAAAGCATACGCAAGTTTTAATAGAGG